GTGAATAGTAGTGAGAGACTCGGAGAACAACAGCGATGGTGAGAGGAATGGATTTGGAGGTCTATGTACTTCAATAAGACTGGCTGCTGAGTAACATGGAAGACACAAGAGGTAGATTACAGAAGTGTCAAGCAAAAACTCAAAACTCAGACCAACCAGGATGCTTTCCTGGTCTGGTGCACCACAGGATGGAAGTTAACTACCTGGTGTCTGCCTCCTCTGAAAACTGTTCCCCTGATTACTGATGATGAGCACCAGCTGGAGGTCGCACCTGCTGGTCACACCCTGATGAAGAGGAAGGTAAGCAAACACTCTCACACCCAAAACCCAGTTCACCACCCTGTGGAGTCACAAAAAAACCTACAATAAGGTCAATTATACTGCAAACTTCAGATTATTCCTTATATTTGTAGAATGCCCCCTTGTGGATGTAACGTTCTTTAATATGAGAAACGCCACAGAACAAACACAGAGTGGTCAGACTCTTAATAGGCTGAAAATTACAAAAGAACTGTATGCCATCACTTTAAAGACTGATCACCAGAATAAAAGTGACGGTTTTCAATTTCACATTAGTGTGGTATTTACCGTAGTTGAAAATATACCACATAACATTTCTGTCTTGAATGTTTTTGACAGGACAGATGGCATATTTTCTATAGTTTTGATTAACTGAAATAAAAAATGCATGTAAATTTGTACAAGATGTTCCTTTAGTACACAACCTTGTCATATCTGGTACATGTTTCAAGTTTTTTTTTTTTACAAGTTATCTTTTAAAGTCGAGCATTAGTGTGTAAAAGACAGATTTTGTGCAAATATGGCAGATGTAAATATGGCCCCAGAGGACCTCAAACGGACTAGAACAGAAGGAACTCAGCAGAAGGCGAAGGGCATTCAGTCTCAAGAGATGTCTGACACGAAAGTGACTTTTGTCCTTCCAAAAGTCCCTCATCAGGCTCTGCTGCAGCAAAACAAGCTCTCTGAGTTTGAGGAAAAAATTGTATTTCAGCATCTTTGTCCAGCAGTGTGTATTGAAAACAGCTAGCTCTGTCTAAACAGAATACTGAGTTTATGACAACATAGAGTAACTGTATGTAGTCGGTTGTAGTGTTAGCATGTCCTGGGTCCCTTATCTTAAGCTCAATCAGTAAAGATTTCTGAATCAGCAGAATCTGTTTGCAAGAAATAAATCACATTGTCTTTTGTATAAATCAGTCTGACTGTCTTGAGCCTCCCTCTAAACACGATAGGTCAAACACTATATCCATTTAGTTTATTTATTTCTAACATACTGGCAGTATAAGCTAACAGACATGAACAACGAATCCAGAAGACATATTTTTGCACCACAATAATCTTAACAGTCTCAAAAAGGAGTAGGAAGAAGTAAAAAAAATGTATGAACTCCTACCCCATAAACTCATACCGTGTTTTCAGATGGACCCTGTTAAGGAAGAATATCTAAATTAGTTAACTTTAGAAAAGTCTGGCTCTCTCTTTCTCTGGATCCCAGGTCCTCCCGGCGAGCCACGTGTGGCCACAAGGAAAACAACAATGCGTGTTGACGTCACAGAATTACAGAGTTTAATCCAATACAAAACAGCGTATGAATTAACAACAAAACTGCAGAACAACAGAGACATACATTCATTACCTGAGACAAAAAAGATAGAAAAAGAAAGGCAAAGATGCGTCTTTGGAGAGAGCTGGTGCAAAAAAGGCAAAATAGTGGCAGCTATCTGAATTATTACTCCTGGGCACGAACTTTTATAATGTAGGCGTGTTTTTTCCTCTTTAATATGTTCAAATAAGGCGTACCTCTGCTTGACCAACTGGAAGCTATCTTGAACACTCAAAAAGACTTACAACTTCCCCTAATTTACAGCAAAGATCAAAGGCCATTTGCCCTTTTGTTTAACAAAAAGAGCGGAGAGCTTGTCCTGGCCTCCTGCGGTTCTAAGGTCTTCTGGGCAAAGAAAAACATAAGAAAAGTATTTCACAGATAGCTGTGAAATCTGGAGTCTCTCCCGCTACCTCTCCTTACATAGATTCTCAGGAACAAACTTAAATTCAGTAATTTGGTTCAGGGAAAGGTTATCTTCACAAACCCAGTTTTGCTCTTCTGCACTCAGCAGCCCAAAAGATTGAGTCTTGCCTTAAACCAAAAATAACACATAAAATCAACAGAACAAAATGAAGTACAATTCCTTTTCTAACCTATGAAACATAATATTCAATCCTAAGTATACAAGTTAACACAATCATGTCCCGAAAACCCCATTTAGCATAAATCCTGAGCAATTTTCTAATACTAAACAAAACATTCTCATTCAACCAATTTCCATTTGATTCAGATATTGTCACAGATAGTACAATTTTCAAATACATTCATCATTTACTAGATTAGTAGTTCTAAAATTAGATAATACAATTTTCATTAAAAAAAACATGCTATTAGTAACTAAGAAAAACGTCTTAGAAATTAAATGTTAGTGGTTTTAACATTCTATGTTGTATTCAGTTTTACACCGTCCCAGATGTTAGTTCTGGAAGACTTTTGATCTTCCGTGAACCGAGCAAACTTCTTTCTCCCAGGCTCAAGTGATGCTGCCCTCCTGGAGATGCTAATTTTATGGCCTCCTGTCCTCTCTGATAACACAACAGGAGCCTCAGTGAGAGTTCCCTTTTGATCTGTATTTTCCTTCTTGTACTTTGAATACTTACCCATCAATAGTTTAGTTTTTAAATCATTAACCTGTTCAAAATTAAGAAATTTGTTCAAAATGGCAATGCTCAATCTACCTTTTACACATGCCGTAAGATTAACTGTATTAAACACTAAAAATAATTTTTCCTCAACATCCCTCATCATTAAATTAAAAATAGGAAGGAAAATTGTTGTGTTGTGTAATACTGCTCCACGCCATTAGGTGGAGCCGCTGACAAGAATACATGAGAAACGGTAGGAAGAGTAAGAGATGTTAGAAAAACGGTATTGTGCTCGTTCTGTTAGTTGTGCTTGACGTGCTTCGTGTTAAATAAATGCACAAGGTTATTCAAGAATGTGTCTTGTTTTCCACACCATTACAAAAATCTTAATTCGTTTTCCTTTTTTTTTTTGCCATGGATTCACCAAACAAATGTCTAAATATATAGATACGCACACCCAGACCCACACACACTCATATGAGTTATGCTATCTCTCACTCTATATCTTGTGAAAATTACCTCCTTTCATTTCCTTTTAAATTGTATTGATTTTTGACTTTGTTTTAACTCCCAATTTAACTTGTTCCATAATTTTACACCATGAATTGAAATACAAAGTCCATCAGATTTCCATCCACAAATCCAGCACAGAGCAGACTCCTCAGTGTTTGAGGAAGCTTAGGCATTTCTAGGTGAAGTAATGAATGAGTCCCATTCATTACAACTTTGATGTAAGGATTTAATGGGGTTTTCCTCATGTGCGGACACGCAGTCATTTGCTAACAGTGTGCACACCAGTGGACTTGTTTCTGAAATTTTTTAAAAGAAAAAAGAAAGCTTACTAGAGTGGTAACTGATGAACTATGTGTCACACAGAATTTGTGCTCAATGACACATGCAAGGCGCTAATGTCTCTTTGATACCTCGTTAAAGCCACCGATCCTGAGGAAAGCAGAAATAATGTTTTTACCTAAACTAAATACATTTCCTGCATTATGTATTCAAATAATGGGTCTTTATTGTAAACTTGATAGCCCAGTGCTCCTACCTTTATTTAACTGGACTCTACCAATATTTTCCTCATTTAGCTTTAGAGTTATCAAGTTGCTTGTTTTTCTTTGATAAATACCAAAGTAACTATAAAAGCTAGACTCTCCCTATGCTTCTGGGTTTTGGCCCTAATCTATCAAATTCTTGTCAGTTCACCTATGAGTTCAAACTGGTATCATCTGAAGGAAGCTATTATGAAATGGCCCCCAGGCTTTCTTGCCATATTTTGTTCAAACGAATCGGAGTAGATGGACAGATAAAGAGAGAACAGGAAAACACAATGCCTCCAGCTGTTGCTGAAACATGAAAGGAGAGGGAAAAAAATAGATAACTGGTTCTGGACTGAAGCGCCTCTTGTCTGATTAGAGCACAAGTGAGCAACTAAAGAATCAAAGGCGATCCAGCAGCCCTTAGGGTGAAACCCAAGCCCTATTTCCAGTAGTTTGAGAGGAGCAGAACCTTATTTTAATGATCCCAGACAAGTGATCCCTCACTTTTCCTTTTTTGCTCTTGCTTCTGAAAATGTACAGTGGAAAGTACTGCTGGAGAAAAGTCTGCAAGATGACAGTGATATGGCCTAAAATACACTACACTGGGATCTGTAGTTGTAAAATTAAAAGGTTCAAGGGAGGTGAAAGCTTTTGCACCATACTGTATGCTGTATCTACTGATGATTTAAAAATGCAGTTTTGTAGCCTGTAAAGAGAATCAAAGGCAATCCAGCAGCCTTTAGGGTGAAACTCGAGCACTATTTCCAGGAGTTTGAGAGGAGCAGAACCTCTACATCTAGCACATTAACTCTGCCCCATCTTTGACCTTAGAATCTGCTCTTACAAAGATAAAAAACATCCTGATTATGGATATGAAATAAAGGCTTTCATTTCACACTGACTTCTTGACCTCAGTCTCTGCCTGGCAGAGACTTCTTGACCTCAGTCAAGAAGTCAGTGTGCTACTTTCAGTGAATGTGCCACTCAGAGGATCAAAATTGCATAGTTTCCCTGTTTGAATGAGTGCCATCTTGTAACGATTCATGCCTCGGCCTGCAGGATTTGTTCTGTAACTGGAGTATTGTGCTGCAGTCCAACTGAGACTTTCCATTAAGTTTCAGTAGACTGCCTATAGCCCCCACTGTCAACAGTCTTAATTAAGTGTTGTTTAACATTCCCAACATCCTGATGTCCATTGGGATGCACATTCAATTTTGGGAAAAAAAAAATCCTACAATTTAATGATAGAAAGATTTTTTAAAATACTTTCAAATACACTAGAAATACTTAAAATGATCCTGAAAGCAATTTTTATAGGCTTTTATGAATATAAACTGATACTTTTGATGGACTTTCTTTGTTTTGCTCGTCCTATCTGATGCCTGAAACTCACTAGTATCAAGTTAAGAGTCTGAATTTAAATGTTTTCGTTTAATAAGAAACCAATCAGTAACCTGCAATGACAAATTCCCTCATTTTTTTATTGGTTTAAACCCAGAGAAATATAACGTCCATTCCAGCGGACGCGGAGTCTGAGCGGTGCTTTAAGTTTAAGAAAGTTCGGTGAACCCTAGTAAACCCACAATGTATTTCCTAAAGTACCAACTTATCCAGAGGTTTCTATTTGATATCTCTTCCTGATAAGTTGGAACACAAACGTTTGAATGATTCTTAAAAGATGACTGTCTAACTTGAAAGAAAAAGCTCTGAATTAAGCATCTTAGATCACAGACGTAATGTATTCTCTGACTTTTTGACTCTACCCTCAGTGGAGTTACTACAGCTGACAGCATCTCCGTAGACTAGGAGGAAAGTTTTAATAAGGTTCAAAGTTATAAAACTTTTTTTTTTATTTTTATTTTTTTTTACCTGAAGTAAGTGTCACAGGGAGTGTGAGAAACAGTCAAGAGAACATATCTTATGCGGATGAAATATTCCCCAAGGTTTCATTCAGCAACTCAAAAAGTTTGGAGATATGAGAGAGTGGTTTGAAGAGAAGCCCTCCATGCAGGTTCAGATCCATTGTTTTACTTTAACCTTTGGAAGTACAGCTTGCAACCTGCTCTCTGTAACGACTTTCTCAATCATCATGAAAGGAGCTGTACAGCTTTTTTTCTAGCGAGTGCAAGATTCCCCTTCAAGGCAAAATCTGCTGTATTGAGAGAAACTGTAAGGTTGTGATGCTATGTTACAGGATTGTTACAGAGAATCACCAGCTGTTTGTTCTCTGGTAAGGCTTTCTATTACTGTAGGGTTTATTCTCAGCGGTGAGCCGTGGGGTTTCAATCAGGGCCTTCAATAGACGTCAACTATCCCTGAACAATACACATGTTGTGCAGAATAATGCAAAAACCACAGTTCAAGCCGCAGGAGACCAATAATATGCAAACAAAATGAAATACAAGATATATGCAGCCCAACAATGCATATATCAAGCATTATCATATTTGAGCAAAATACATAGGCAACAATGCACATAGTTGAACATCCAGCAATTTAGCAAAACTATTCTGTTCCCCAGTTAAGCTCAACATCAATCCATACTCCTCAAACAGCACATGTGAACAATTAAAGAAAAAAATATTCAATAAAGTCTGAATGAGAATGCCAAAGAAAAGTAACACCCATTAGTAAAATGAATTATTTTACAGGAAAATCTAATCATACAGTGACACGTTTTTGTCACGAGGTATAAGCTTTTTTCTGTTGTTTCCTGTAAAATTAGTCAGCAACACATTGTTAATGCTGGAAGTAAATAATGCTGACACTCCATATTTGTGGGAAACTTAAAGTCTGATGTTGAGACAGGTTTTCTTTCTTGCATTAATTTGTGTTATGTATTTATTATCGATTTACTATGACCATGCCTGGAACATTGAATCTACTTATTAAAACAAATTAATGTACAATTTGCTACCCAGAAAATTAAACAAAATTGTACTTTAGGAAAGCAGTGGGGCTTTTTTCAGCTGTGTCTTTTACTCCATGAACCCTGGCAGTGACACTGAAATACTGCAGCAGTCACTCTATGCAGACACTCTGTTTACACTGATGAAGATTTACTCACATGAGACTCAAGTCCAATGACTTTCTGATTAATTCAGATAATGACTGTTTGATCACTTATGATCGCTGAAATTTGATCTCCAGATCAAATAAAAAGGTGGCTTTCAATGGATATGGAGAGTTTCACATTACGTTTTAATTTGATTTACTACTTAGCATGAACAGAGTGGTTTAGTTGTAAAAATAAACTGTAACATCACTCGAAGTTAATAATGAAACGAGCGACAGGGCGCTCAGCAGGAGAACTGGTACCAACAGATGTTTGTTTGAACTCACAATGGGGCTGAGCCGGAGTTTTAGTGAGAAACCTTCGCTGCTGATTCCTTTTAGAGGCAGAAAGACGACAGCAGGAGATCCACATGAGGTAACGTGATGAACTGGTGAGGACTGGCAAGCGAAACCCCAGTGGATATCCTGCAAAAAACTTAATGAGCCACAGGTGCACAGAATCAATCGCTGAAGTTACTGTGTGGCTACAAACCAGTAGAGGAGACAGAAACCAGGGAAAGGGCCTGGAAACAAGACAGAAACACTGATAAAATCTAAAATAGCAATAACCTATATGTATACTTTTGTGTGTATATATTACAATAACGGTAACCTCAGGAGTTCAACCAATTGTTAGTTTAGAATTGAAATAAAAATCTAAAATTTAAGGGTAATTTTTGAAATGCAGGATTTTTGTGCTGCAAACTTCGTCTGATGCCGACACCCTACAAATAACTCCCTACAACATTTCAAGCTGTTTGCAAGAGAATCATCTTTTATTTATGTTAATCAGCACCTATTTTGGTTTAAACAAGCAACTCGTTAGAGCACCTACAATTAACTTAGCAAATAATAGATGCTGATTATCCAGTAACCCTCTGCTCCTTTCTACTGTCAGTATAGAAAGAGAGTTCAAGCTCTCTTTATTCAAATGTTGTATGTATTAGGATATAAAAAATGTTGTCTAGTCTTTGCCATGTTTGCATATGATTGCACCATGTATTGATTTATTTAGGAAAGCTTGTAATTTACGACCTTGTTGTTCATATATTCAAAGTTTAGAGTTCAAACTCATGCTGGACTGATGAAATAATGTTATTTTAATTTCTTTTGTTGGCGATCTGTGTTCAGATCTATTATCAGGCTGAATGACCAAAGTTTAGGCTAGAATTCAGTCAGATGCTTAAGAGACATGCTGCTTGTTGATTACCAACTTTAGTTTCAAATATTGCTACTTTACAGGGCTCTTTCAGTTTCCACAGCCTAACAGTCTGGGGTTTTCTTTAGTCATCAAATCAAATCAAATTTTATTTGTATAGCACATTTCAGCAACAAGAAATAACACATATACAATGTCATAGAAACACAGTCAACAATTACACATCAGATTGTTGATTAATGTTTGATTATGAGACTCATTCATTCTTAAAATGAATTTAAATGACAGGAAGGTCTCACAGGAAATTTAAGCAGGTCTAAAATGCTACTTTTTAAAAAATGTTTGGGATATTTTGATGCCTCGAAGCAGTCCATAGCCTTCAGACTGATAAAATGAACAGTAGAAAAAGAGTTTTGATTAGACCAGCAGGAGATTAAAAGATATTATTTCTCAGAGAAACAGATCAAGAGTAGAAATCTTACAAAAATCTTGAAGAGCTGATATCCGAGCACAGGAGAACTTTATGGTTTAGCTTTCGTGATCCTGTCTTCAGGTGTACCATTGTTGCTGTTTTTATTTCGTGGTGAGAGTTTGAGGTGATCGGAGCTCGAGGTTCATTCAGATATCAGACTGAAAGCACTGAACGCATGTTAAACGTGCTCTGATTCACATCCTCGTCTTCTCTGCCCCCCCACTGAGCATCCTCAGAAAGAAGCTCGAGCCTCGTGTCGGCGGGCTCCCCGACTCCGCCTTTCATCTTCCTTTCACCCTGCATCTCTTTGAAAGGGATCATTTTCTGCTTGAGAGAGGGTAGAGGAAAAAACAATTTGCAAATACTTCTTAAATCCTCACAAGTGACTGAATTGACCTTGCACTTTTACTTGACGGTTGTCAACCTGACGGGGCATATTTAAATAAAGGGCATATTTAAATAAAGCTTGATATCCGTCTCTGCAGCTCTCCTTTTTAGCGGTAAATTACCACAGTGATGGATCGGTACCTTTAGCTGCAGATGGCGCTTCGTCCAGATAATGTACAAACCCATTTAACCAGCCTTGATGTGGCTGGTTAAATGGCCACATTTAACCAGCCAAAGATATCAACTTTTCTTTCTACCTTTTGTCTAAAATAACAGCAGCAGAGCACTTAGAAAGTCAATTCCTTTACTGCTAAAGGCATTGATTTTTTTTGTTGTTTTTGAATCATTAGTCCAGATGTCTAAAACTCCTCTTAGTAAGAAGTTTATATTTGGTCATATTGACTTTTAGCACGCTTAAGTGCAGGGAGGGCATCTGAAAGTAAGACTTAGTTTCATCTTAATGAAACAAAATTGAACTCACAGCTGTAAAATACAAATGTTAACATATTGATGTTTAACCCTGTTTTTAGAAAGTCACTACTGATTTTTCTGTACTGATTCTAAAAAAGAAAGAGAAGAGGGATAAATGGAGGTAACAAATTAGTCCAAAAAAAATGCAAACAGAATCAGAAACAGGAGGTAAGCATAAAAACATAAATAAAATGCACATATTGCTCCTTTAATTGTTATCTGTCATAATGTTTTTAGCAGTGCTCCAGCCACATGTGACCTGCCTCATTGTTTAATGCTGAGAAGAAGAAGTGGGGACAGAATGAGAGAGGGGAGGCGAAGGAGAAAACAGGGACTTTCTTTTCTCACCTGGGGTGTCTGCCATTGATTTGCTTCACTTTAAATATTTGAGCGGCTTTCTTATTTACACACGGCTTTATTTATTCAGGCTCATACCGGCACTCAGGAGGAGTCAGCCAATTACCTTTGCATTATTGACGAGGATAAAGTCAGCCTCTTGCGGCTCTGATCTCCATCTCTCCCCTCGTTTTCTCTCTTTACTCATTCTCTAACGTTTTCTTCCCTCGTCCTCCTCTGCGACCTCTACCATTTCTCCACCGGCTCCGGTGTCCCACCTTTCAAAATGTTTCCTTTTGATTCAAACAATTGAGTCTTACAATAAACTACTGCCTTCTGCCATTTCCCCCCCTGCTTCTTCAAGCTGATCTCTAAGGAAT